GGGAGGTTCTGGAAGCCGATCTTGCGCATGCCCTCATAGGCCAAGCAGTGTGCCCGGATGGTACGGAACCGGGCATCACCAAAGAGGTGGCCAAACTCCTCCAGCTCCCTGGCCCCCATCACCTGGTGCATGTAGGGGATCTGGTGCCGGAAGGGGATGAAGTATCCCAGGAGGCGTTCCAACCACCTGGCCCTCAAGTGTTGTTCCAACGCTCTCTGAGATGTCGGCAATTGGGTTTTGATCTTCCCTGGTTTCCAATGCCGCCACTTGTTGGCCACTGCCAGGACATCCGGGGCCTCAATCGATCCGGAAAGGATCCACTCTTCGCGGTCCCGGATGGCCTGTTCCATTTCCAGTGGAGAATAGGTGTGCGATTGCCTGGCGCCTGCCGCACGAAACAGAAGTTGTTGCAGGGTCTTAGTAGCGAGCTCCAAATCCGCCTCCTCCAGCGGTTGTGGTTGGGAGCCGAGTATCCTCGCGAGGATCAAGTTGTAGGTGTCCGAGGCCACCAGGACGTGGTTGCCGTCAGGTGCCAGCCCCACGATCCGTGTCCACGGCCGCGGGTCAAAGACCACCGCATCCGGGTTGGCGACCTTGTCCTTTTTGACCCATTCCAGGCAGCACGCCACGAGGATTTCCCCGTCCGACTGCACTGGTGCAAATCCAAGGTCATGCAAAATCAACTGGAGCGCGGTTGGCGCCCCTAGGAAGGTCGTCCCAAACGGGGAAGGGAGGCGGGGCCTCCACATCATCATGATCCACTCGAGCCGGGGGCCTAGTCCCTAGGTGCAAACCCCAACCAAACAACAGGGGCCCCCCAAAACCCCGGAAAGTCAACCCCGAAACGGAGGAAACGGGGGAAAAAGGGGGACCCAGGGAGCCGCCCCGAAAAGGGAAAACCAAACAAGAGAGGGGAACCAAGGCGCACCCCGGATCAGCCCAAGCCGCGCCAATTTTCCTCGCCTGGTGCAAGTCTGGGCCTGCGCTGTTCCCTGGGGGGGGATATCAGCGCCTTCGGCAGCTGTCCCCCCCCCGGGGTGCGCTGCGCATCCGTTCCGGATGGCCGCGGTCCTGGATGGTGTGCCGGAAGATGGCGTTGTCCCGCATCATCACGCGGCCCCCTTCGCGATGTCATCGATGCGCTTGAGCGCAGCAGCCTCCGGATTCCGCAGAATCAGCTCCCAGATGGCATTGGAGACGTGGCCTGTCTGGGTGGTCTGGCTGAATCTGAACCTGGGCACCTTCTGGTCCACGATGGAGACGTCCCGCAACGGGGCCGAGGGCTCCACCCGGCGGTAGTACTCCAGCCGCTCCTTCACCCAGCGGTTGTAGAGGCCCTCCGGCGGCTCGTCCAACACCAGCTGCAAGATGGCCTTGCCGGCCCGGATCTGGAGGAGGCGGGTGCCCCCTCCCCCGGCACGCCTTACAATACTTGCACATGTAGCCCCCCCGGGTCTCCCCTTTTGTCTTCGGGATGAGTTCCCACGGGGTGACGGAGCTCAGGACCAGGCCACACTCCATGTGCGCCCAGAAGACATGCTTCATCTCCACCGGATAGTTCTTCTTCCGGTAGTCCTTACCCACCACGCCGTGGACGTTGTCCGCCGTGATGGGGGGGTAAACGATCCCCTCATCGCCCTCGCCTCCCCTGGGGCGGATGTCAGGGCCATCGGCACCTGTCCGGCACCCAGGGGCGGAGGGGTCCAGGCCCATCAGCTTGATCATGTCGTTGGTGTAGCCGAGCTTGCGGTAGATGGAGGGGGCCACTGAGTCGGGGACTGCGCCGACCCACCACTGCTTCGTGTTGCAGCGCCAGTTGACCTTCACCTCCGCCAGGGCCCCCGGGCCTCCAATGCGGTCCATGAGGGCCTTGTACACCTCTGGGAACTGCTGGAGGCTCTCCACCGGGACCGAGATGCGCTCGTCGCATACCGCCCGCAGGATCATCTGCTCCTTGGAGTCCGCCACGTCCTGGACCGGGAGCTGCATCACCTCCGCCGGGGTGTCCGTGAGGAAGGCCCGGGCCGCGAGGACCTTGCCCATGGCCCGGTAGACCAATCGCCACTCCGGTCCTGTCTGCGGAAACGGAAGGCCCTCCTCCTTCAGGAAGCACCGCGCGTCCTCCTTCAGGGTCTCCCAGCCCTCCAGGCGGGTCTGATTCTGGGCCTTGTTTTTCGGGCCCCGCTGCCTAGGGCCCTGCAGCAGTGGCAGAGACTCCCAGACTCCCCAGAGCTGGCGCAGGGTGTAGCTGTGCCCGAACATCCCCAGTAGGCCTGGGAGTGTCCAGGACGAGATCTGGCGCGTCCAGTGGAAGTCCTCATCCGGATCGTGGGGGGCAGCCCAAAAGATGGATCGCAGGTCCCCAGGGTAGGGTCGGTCCCCCGCCTTCGCCTGCTGGTTCAACTCATCAACGGAGTACCTGGCCCAGGGGAGTCCACCCACCTGGTGGTTCCTGGGATGCGTACCCTTCTCCAACGCCTCCGGATTCACCTTGGTGAGGTTTTTCGCCCAATCCGGGACGTGTACCGGGCCCGGTCGTCGGACCCAGCGGCCCGCAAAGATACGGACCTCTCCGACCCGTTTGCTCATCATCCAGCGCAGGACCGAGAGCTGCACCTCCGGGTCCTTGGTGTCCAGGCCCACCGGGGTGGCGGACGGCTTGTCAGGGCCCTCGGCACCTGAGCTCGTCACGCCAGAGCCCGAGGCTGGGGGGATGGTGGGCGGCCTGTCAGGGCCCTCGGCACCTGGGCGCGCCGCACCAGAGCCCCCCGCCTTTGGCATGGGGATCCCTGTCAGGTCCGGCAGATCTGACAGGAGGGCCGCCGGGAAGGGATTCCTACCCAGCGAGATGACCGCCTTGGCCTCAAGGTAGGAGTCCGTGAGGGATGTGAGGTCGTCCATACTGAAGTCCCTCCATGCCGTTGTCGGCTCGAAGACCCCAGTCTCAATGGCGACCCGGACCTCACTAGGCCACGCACTGAAGGGAGGCGCGATGGGCTCGAGCATTCTGGTTTCGAGGGAGCCCTTCGCCTGTCTGGCTTGGTGTTTCGCTTTCGCCTCCTCCGCAGTGGTCTGGGCCTGGAGGAGCTCCGGTGTGGGTCTCCCCCAGTCCGCACCCAGCTTGTCCAGCAGCTTCTCACGGAAGAGGTCCAAGTCCAGGTTCTTCAGGAGCAGGCCTCCATCACCTCCTCCGTCAATGGCCCCCCCTTGAAGTTCGTGGAGGACCGCCGCGGAGCGCTCCACCGCTTCCACCTGGTCCGCCTTCTTGGCCTCCTCCTGGGCGATGGTGGTGGCGTTGAGCCGGGTCTGAATCTTGAAGGCCTTCACCGCAGACGGGTGGAAGGCTCTGCATTCCTGGCCCTCTTCCTTGTCGCCTGGCAATGGGGGCCTCTCCCCCGGTGGGGCCGTCAGAAACTCCTCGTCCAGCTCCATGGGGCAGTTCCTGATCACCGCCCGGACCGAGGAGGGGACGAAGTCCGAGAAGCTGGCCTGGTCCGGGTTCTCGCAGGCCATCGGGTCGGTGGCCAGCTCGCTGACGTCCACCGAGGCACTGAGCTTGAGGTCGCGGGCCCGGTCCGTGTCAGGGCCTTCGGCACCCGCGGACCGGGCCGCCGTCCAGACCGCATTGCCCTGGTCATCCACCGTCAACTGCCAATGCGTGCCCGCCATCTCCAGGGTGGCCGAGTTGGTCGCCGTGTCAATGGGCTCCGTCTTCTTGCCGCACCCCATGCACTTCGTGGCGCCCTTCTTCACCCAGGGCATGGTGCAGCAGGGGCAGATCCAGGATGTGGGCACCTTGCCCAGGGGGCGGTTCTCCAGGCCCCCGTACCCCAAGCCAGCGCGCTTGCCAACCTGCTGTCCCGGGGTGCTGAGCCGGGCCTCATGCTCGTACTTCATCTTGGCGATGTAGAAGGCCTCCACAACGCGCTCCAGGCCCCCCTGCTTGAGTTGGGGGCCCTCAAAGCCTCGCAGGAGCCGCTGGACGTCCTTGGCCTGCAGTCGGCGGAGCCTAGTGGCCGTGGTCGCATCGAAGCAAGGGAAGTCGCCCGCCATCTGGTCGTCGCTGAACTGGTAGAGGCCCTCCGAGACCTTGAGTGAACACGCTCCCCCCCGGCGGGGGGGCTGCGGGGTTCTCATCCTCCTCCGAGGACGCCTGCTCCTTGACCTTCGCCATCAGCTCCCGGCGCCTCTGCCACTTGGCGTCTGCCCGGGCATCCAGGCGGGCCTCCTCCAAGCGGGCTGCAGCCGAGGGGAACCTGGGCATCGGCAGCTCCTTCTCGTCCTTCGCCAGGAGCTCCTCCATGGGCACGTCCTCCTCCGGCGGGTTCAGGAGCTCCAGGAACGCCCCTGGGGGCGTGTCAGGGCCTTCGGCACCTGCGCCACCCCAGGGGCTGCATCTTCCATCGGCTCATCCTCTGCCTTGCGCTTGGCCGGGATAAGGGGGGCCTGCTCCAGCTCATCTGCGCTGGAGAAGAAACGCTCGTCAGGTGCCTGAGGGACCTCAGCAGCCAAAACGGTCCATCCTTCTTCCTCCCTCTTCACGAGGCTCGCCAGGTACTTTGCCATGGAGGCCTTTGCCTTAGCCTTGGCCTCTGCTACCGCGGCACCAGCGTAGGCGGGGGCGTACATGGCTTTGAGAGTAGGGGAAAGAAAGATTTCAAATCACAAGACAAAAGATCAAAAGGTCCACTTGAGCCAAAATGGTGGCCCAAGTGGATACTTATTAAGAGTCAAGACAAGCGACCACCTACGGTTAACGCTTTAGCCCAATGTTACATATATGCCTTGGATTACGGCAGGGTTGGGCCAACTCCTTGCAAAAGCATGCCGCAAATCCCGATTCAAACAGTCTCCTTCAGGTTTCCTTGAGGTGACCAAACGAAACGGCATGAATTCCACTGAAAACCATGGCGTTGAGTTGGGCGTCGTAACGAGACCAATCCGTCCACACCGAATTCGAGGCCTGGCCAAGCCCAACACGCTGAACCGGGGCCCCGGGCCATCTTGGCACCCAGGGGGGCCATCACCCTGCAGCGCGCTTCAGACTTGGCTTAAAGCCAACTGACAAGTCCAACTGGTAAAGATTGGCAAATGGCTGTGGGTGAAAACCCTGTACACCCCTGGTGAATATCAAAACAACTGGTACATGGGTGTTCATCCGCCCCAGAGATGGAGGCATAGGTTATGACCCATGGCCAAATATTGGGACAGATTTGATCAATCACAAATTGCAACGAACTTGCAATGGCCATCTTGCAACTGAGTGTCAATGAAGAATTCCAGCGGACACCCATAGGGCATCAGGTTTGCCACTTGATCCCAGCTTGAGTAGCCCTTCGGGGTGGATCTGTGCCCCCGAATTCCATTGCTTCGGCCGAGAAGGGCACCGAGCCTCTTGATGGTGGTGGATTTGATCGTCGTCGTCTTCACGGCAAAGCGCGACCTTTCGTCCGCGGGCGGTGCCGCGGGCGGGGTCGGCACTCGCGGCCGGTCCTGCGAGCGACGGACGGCTCGTTTGGCGCTGGACGCACGTGCGCGTGTTTCCAAGGGTACCCCTTTTCAGCTTGGTTGCAGGGAAACCAAAAGGAAACCCACCATTTTGGGGGATCTAACCCTGTAGGCCTCTTTTCAGGTAAGCAAAAGTTCAGGAGTAAGCCTTTGGTGGTTCTGTTGAAATGGAGTAGGTGTCACATGACTGCTCTCTGGTCACATTGGTGGTGTGGGGAATTGAGCTCCAAACCCCTGGCCACCTCCAAACCGGTGGGATAAGCTGATGATTCTCTGCCGTCTGGGCGACAATGTTGGCTCTAACGTCATCCTTTTGCAGGATTCGGCCAATTTAGATTGATCTCTAAGGAAAGTCTCAATGAGATTAACTTAAGTGTCAAAAAGTGGTTGGCCCCACTCTTTGCTGCAGCCGCCCCCTTTGGCCGCTTCAAGCTTCAAGTGGGAGACAAAGTCCGGACTTGCGAGGCAGCTTACACTGGCACAGAACCCCTGTGCAGCAGCTGATATGGTCAGCAGCCGAAGGTGCAAAGCGGCTTCCGAGCACACATCATGCTCAAGAAAGTCGTATCAAGACCCTAGGAAAGCTCTATCAGTACAAACACACAACTTCGACATCGCCGGATACGCTGAAAAATCGGAGCCCGCTTCGATGTCGCATGGTTGTCTCTGAGGCTCAAAGCTCTTGTGGGGTATGGCCATGCTGCTTTCAGAAAGGGGGTAACTCTGGTGGTCAGGAACGCTTGTCAGGGCTCCCCAAGCTGGCACCCCTAAGAGGGGGCATGGTTTCATGAGCCCATGCAGTCACCCTTGACAATCTAGGAAGGGCTGATGGCATTCTAGCCCCAACATCAAACCAGGTCTTCCAAACACCACATGAAGCAACCCTGGGGTTGAAGCGAAAGCCAGGCACAAGTTTTTGCAGGTGGGACTCTTTTGAGGCTGGCTTTTGTACCAATCCACTGGCCAACCCACTGAACTCATCGAGCTCGCCGAGATCCTTTCAGGCCCTTCACCCGATCCACGTCCTGGTTCTTCCAGGGCTCGGGGGGGCGCGGGGCCTTGACCTCTTCGGCATCAGCCTGGAAGCGAATCTGCTCGAGCCGTTCATGCTTTGAGAGTAGGTTCAGTGGTTCCTGACCTAACACCTGCGTGTCATTTCGGATGCTACACACATGATGGCCCTTTGCAGCAAGCTGGAACTCGTTTGTTAGAACCCGCTTCTGGGGAAGGTAGTTTGAAGGACAGTGGTTTGTGGCAAGGATTGAAAGCGGGTTAAGGGTTGACTGGGTCGGTTTCTTGAAGTATTGATACTATCTGGCCAGCTTGGGAACCCGCCTGACGAGGTCCTAGACCCAACATAACCAGCCGTTTTTACCAACAGGGTACACCGGCAAAGTTGTTGAGTGGGCCCCTCTAGTATGGCTGCACTGGCCCCTACAATGCACAAGTTGAGGGTTGAGAGGACTCCAATTGCTGCACACCCAGACCCTGAGTCCGAAAGAGTCTGAATTGTGTTGACAAAGGGCCAATAGCCAGCAGGCACGGCTGGAAAGCCCTGCTTGCTTTCGCTACTGGCTTGCCCCCTGGCTTCATAGTTCTGCGCATGGGCATCCGGAAGCCCTAGGCCAACCCGACCGATGGTAACCACTCACAAGCTGATGGTAACCAGACCCACCAGGTAGTTCTACCCCAATTGAACTACAAATAGCCAGTTGCAGAACCGTCAGGAGTCAAGCCTAGAGGAAGAGCAACCAGGATGCCTAGAGTGGGTCAGCTAGAATCGTTCTGTTGGCTTGGAAAGTTGAAAGCCTCTTTTGGAGAAACAAGCGATTGGAACTTTGTTGGGGTTGATTCCACTTTGGGGGGGCTCCCGCGAACGCGCACCCCGAGCGATCCTCGTAGGGTTTGATGGTCCGACCCTTGAGCTCTGGCAGGTTCTGGCGCAGGCGGACATATGGGCACCTTTTGGATCCCAAAGGCACATCCTTGTCCCTTAGGAACCCGTTTACCCCAGGTCTGAAAAGGGCCCATAGCGAAAGCTGATGTGAAGGGCATGAGAGCATGCGGATCTTCAAGCGGCGTCTTTTTCCCCCTTCTCCCAAGCCCCCCCCCCAAAAAAGAACAAAAGACCAAAAGCAAGTGAAGGGGCAACCCCAGTCCCTCCTCCGACAAACCCAAGTAAATTCATCGAAACAAATGGCCATGGTCCCCTGCCAGTTTTCCTTTCAGCTGCAGAAGGCCTTTGTTCAAAACTTGTTGTCAACTGGACTTGCCTTTTGATAAGCCCGGGCGAGCAGAAATGCACCGCAGGGTTGGGGGGGGGGTCAAAGGCAGGCTGTTGGCGGTGTGGGTAGGGGTGCTTCTTGTTTCCTGAGGCTGGTTTTTCCCTAGAGCAACTTTTCCGCAGGGCTGGTTTTCAGCATCCCCAGCATCACCAGCCTCATGGCGCGGGGGTTGCCTATTGGCTCTCACTGAACTGAAAGGCAGTTGGGAGTTGCTGGGGGCTAGTTTATTTAGGGCCGGGTTTAGGCTGGCTTAGTTGACTGACGAACCCGTGACCAAAAAAAGAAAGAAAAATGAGAACAACCGTTGGGAAGGATCCACAATCCCGTAGCTTCGCGTTGTACTATGTTTTCTATGCTGCTGCGACAGTGTGCACTTAACCGTCAACATGAAGCCCGCTAGTGACGCTGCAGGGGGCATATTTTGGGTGAGGAAAAGGGCAGTTCCACTGAAGGATGCAAGCGTCTCGATTGAGCTTTGCAGATTCAACAATAAGCCTAAAGCATGGTAGGGGCCAAATACAGGACGGGGAATTCCACCGTTTGTCCAATCTGCGCAACTGGGAAACGAAAGGCGCCACCATTGCCGGTATTGGTAGAAAAGGTCCCGGCTCTAGGGACCCCAGGTCCACTGGCAGGAAAAAAAGGTGGCTCGCCATGTGGGAGTGGGTCACACAAAAAGGTACTCAAAATGGAACCCTGGCAAATGGAAACATGGACTAAAACCTGCGGTCCATATCCTGGTGCTTTAATTTTGACCCATACACTGATATGAGTGTAAAAGGAACCAAAAGAGAACCAGCCACTTTTGGGTACCCTACTTAAGCTTCTCCAAAAGAGTACCCTGTATTTTCCATCAAGTCCATTTCTCAGAGCTGCGCACTCTGTCTTTCGTGGAACCCCAAAAAAGCCATTGCTGGGGACCGCCTTGAGTTGCTCCAAAGACCCTGGCAAGAAGTGCGGCCTCTAGTCGAGGAAACGGAAGGAAACCAAAGGAAGCAAAACCAATAGTATCGGTGTACGTAAATATATATATATAATGCATGTATATATATATATACACATGTTATGTAGCTATATATATATATGTATATATGTGTATATATATATTTGCATGTGTACATATATGCATGTGTATATATATATATATATATATATATATATATGGTTTTCACCCGCACGTGGTGACAATCTTTTAGGGGCTTAGAACAACCCTGTTGGGTTCGCTCTGTCAATTTGCGGGGATGAGGTGGCGGAGTTCTCTGAAGCCAAGTTAAGTCATGTGCATAGGAGCGACATACAGTTTGCTGACAGTAGATGACCCATTTGGATTTCATCTTCTTTACTGACACAAAGGGAATAATGATATCTACTTTCACCCCGGTCCAATCATAATAGTGCCACAAAGAAACGCCAAACATGGAAGTGCACCTGGAGCACTGGAAGACAAAAGTAAAGGCCCAAGCACCGAACCATGTTTCTGCAATTGTACACTTCCAAAACCTGAAATATGACTTGGAACCGCAAGTACACCTACCTATTGACAGTAGCTCGTTCTATCCGGTGAGTTTGCCATAAAAAGGCAGATTGTTGTTGGGGGAAGGGCAAGAAGAAGGGGTTTAACAAAACCACACACCTTATTCCCCTTTTTTTCCTCATGACTTGACTAAACTAGGTCTTACAATATCCCATCCCAATCAAAAATGATTTCGCCCCGCCCGGCCTCGGGGAGCTCTGGCGGCTCTGGCGCCCCTGCCTCCCTCCGATGCGCCTTCCGTGCGACTTTTGATTTGGCCCACCCCGAGTTTGAGACAAACCCGGAAACGCCAAGCCCCGCAGTTCCCCGTGGTTCAAAAGAAAGGAAACCGTGGCGACCTTGCGTTGCGGTCCCCTATGCTCCAAACCGATTTTATTTAATAACCTTGGTGTTCTGCCTGAAGAGCAGGCTAGCAGCAAAAACATCCACTGCGATACCTGCAGGCAAACAAGTTAGCCCAGACAGTGGCTTGCCTAGGATCATCCTGAATTCTTTCGACTCACATGGTGTGGGCGGTGAAGGGACGAACAGAGTCATCTATGTTCAAGCAAAGTAAGCCAAAACGGGCCCTATGGTCATGCGCTTGCCGGCTGTGGAACCAAAAAAACGACAGGGCGCAAATTTCCGTCTCAAGCCCACAAAATGACTGATTTGCATTGGTTTGGCTTCCCTCTCAAAGCCAACCCCAAAGAAGGGCACCCAGCCAAAAACGAACAAACATCCTCGGTTGCTTTCTGCTCCCCTGCAAAAAGTGAATAACTTTTAGTGGTTAAATGCAAAAACCCCTTAGTTGGCAAAAAGCTAAAGTCCTAACATCCCTTGGCAAAATGCACCAAAGCATTACCGCACTTGACTCGATCCCTTCGCCTTGATGAGCTCCAGGTCGATCTCAAGCAGGTCCCGCTGCCACTTGCCGCTCTGGCGCGCGAAGGGAAGGAGCGGGCGGAATTACCCTGGAGCGGGGAATCGCCAGGTTTCGGGTGGCTTCCAGTTGGACAGGGATCCTTCCAGTTAGACAGGGATCCTGCAAATCAGCTGGTCACTTTTCAACTTGCCCAACTGTATCCTGGAAGGGCCCCTGATAGATTCCTGATACACCAACCTCAAAGCACGGCACGAGTTTTTGGGGTTCTCCTGGGAAGTGTTCGGGACGTCCTGTGCGCAACTCATTTGCCACTCCGTGACCCAACTTTGGTGCCCCACGCTCACCAGTCTTGACAGTCGCAGGGGCCAGCCTCAAACGGCTGGTCCAGAACATGCTGGGGGACTCACCCTAGATCTCGAGACAATGTCCCAAACTGCTATTTCCCAGTTGGAAATTGAAAAGAGCAAAACTGAAACCACCATCTATCAAGCAAACCGGCCTCAACGGGCACCAACGACCATGGAAAAAAGGTCCAAAGAGGGCTTTCACTTGACGCCGCCTTCACGTAGGTGGTGAGCGATGCCGTGGGGCAGAAGCGCTTCAGCTCGCGGTACAGCGACTCGTCCGTCGCCATCCAGGCGCCCCACGGTCGCGCGCCCCGCGCCCCGCGCTGGTCGCGCCCCGGTCGCGCCGAAGGCCACTGCTCCCCTCGAGCAGAGGGTGGCTGCGCCAGTCGGTGAGTCCGGTGAGTTGAAGCAACGAGGATAGCGCCAAAGGCATTGAGATTCACCGCTCTCAACTCGGCGATGGTGGCAGGCATTGAGGCAGCATCCCAAACTCGGCTGCTTGCCTGCTCAACTGCTTGATTCGCGCTGCGCCTCCTCATTTTCCTGAAAATGACAGTAGGGTACACAAGGCATGATTTGCCTAGCCATCCGTGATAGCTCCTGCCCTTTGTGACAGGTGCTGCTAAGAAGGCGACCGCAAATTTCCCGCACGATGGCGCTCGCTTCCGGGAGCGAATGCGCGAAACGCTCCTAGAGTGGCCTTTTCTCACATGAGCCCTGAAATTGGCGGTGCCTTAATCGGTCGCATAATCCGACAACTTCAATTGGGCTGTGAAAATTCCTGTGAGACGAAGGCCAGGCCTTGCCCGGCGACGTTCATTAACGCGGCCGCACTCGGCGCGAGAGCCCAAAACAGAGATCCACTCGGCTGGAGATACAACATGCAACCTGCTGTCCATTGAAAATGAGCTTGGACATCTTTTGGATCCTCCAGCCTCATCTAGTACAACAGTACAACCCTCCACTTCGCCGGCCGAGCCGCTCGTTTGCAAAAGGGGCGGCAGCTTGGCTGCGCCCGATCAAAGACCTGCGCGGCAAAAGAGCCCTCCCTTCCTTCCTCTTCCAGGGCTGGGAGTCAGGTGGATAGCAAGGCGGTGGCAGGTTACAAGAAGTCTTGGCGGCCGCAATTCTCTGGGCGTCCTAGTGGCCTGCTTCTTTGGATCCCAAGACCCCCGTCCGCAAAGCGACTCTTTTCCGAGCCTTCTCATCCGAGGGTTTGCTTCTGCTGGAAAAGGCTTGATTCGACTTTCCAATCTTGGGAAGAAGTTTGGCAACCCTGGTCCAGTTTGAAAGAAACGGAAAGGTCAGCACTTGGGGGTGGGGGGTGCTGAAGAGGGTGAACCATTTTTTGGGTGGCTTTAAAGGGGAACCAACAGGAAACGCCATTTCAGGAGTTTCCCATTTTGAGAAGCAACCCAGATTCGGCACTTTTCTCACCTTGAGATTGAAATCCGCAGCAATGATAGAAGTCGCTTTCAACGATGGTCTCATGGGTTTTTGACAAGCATGGCACTGGGTGAAACAAGTCAAGCTTAGATCCAGCTTCCCTTGCAACAAAGCCATTTCTTTGCTCCTGGCTTTCCATTTGCACCAAACACGATGTCAGGCACGTTACAACGAAGAACGACTCAGATGAATTCGGCGCTCGGATTCAGATGTTTCCGCCATCTGGAAACATAAGTCAAAATGCAAAATCCCCCCCAATCCAACTCCAGCCACTAAGACAAGGCGTGCACCAATCCACTCCGATCCCAAAAAGGGCATCGATCCCCAAACGGTTTCGACTCCCGACACGGCACGGAGCCAACCCAGCGGCTCGTTACAGAAGCCGCGGGCCTGGGATCACCTTCTGCAGCTCCTCGAATTGCACGGGCGCTGGGCGCGTCCAAATGGGCCAGACTGAGGCCCGACCCCGGCAGATTTTTTTAACTTGCTGGCTAGAAGGTCCTGGTTGGATAGGAAAATGAAGGAAACCTAGGAAGCACCAAAGGGCCAGAGGCGACATAAGTCCGGCAAAGAAAAGAATAGGGAGGAAAGGACGGCCTGCAAGTGGGAGAGTGCGACCTTGCCCATTTGGCCCAAGGGAAAATTGGCTGAATTGTTGGGTTGGACCATCTTTGGAAACCTTCCAAAGGGAAACTACGGCAAACCCCTGGCAACACGGGGAACGAGGCACATTCTACATTGAGCTGCTCTGTGGCTTTCCATGGCAGGGAGGGATTCATGCCTTGGTTGAGCAATTTTCGTGTGGGACCGGAAGCCAAAAGAAAGCGAATTTGCAGACACCAACTATGTTTCGCCCAGCGAGTCCGGTGACTGAAGGTAACAGCCGCCTTTCCTCTGGGCGCATTGGGGGCCATTCTTCTCAACTGAGGGTGCCCTCCAGAAGGCGGTTCCTTCGACAATCCGCACTTCCAACCGCTTGCCTTGGAGCCACAAACAGAAGCTTGGATGGCGGGGCGTGCCCTTTTTAGGGACGCCAAAAAGACACCACCCTTTTTGAAGGTATCCTGAGGATTCGGCCAATTGGTTTGTTGTGTGTAGGAAAGAATGCAACCGCAAACCCTGCCTTCAACCAGCCAAGGAAAACAACGCTCCAATCTTCAATGCCACTCTGAAGAAACAAAGCCTTCAACCATCCAGCATGAGGGGTCTATACATATATATGTATATACATATATATATATATATATATATATATATATATATATATATTATATGTGCCACGGCTTTGACCCCGGGGCTTGTAAACCTTTTGCTTCGGCCTGGCCTCTGCCGCCCGCTGTGGCGATGCCAAGGCGGTGTCCAACAGCGCCTAACGAAAAAATCCGACGCCAGGTCTTGAGGGTACCCCTTTTCAGATGTTTCTTCCAAGGGGAAACCAAGGGGAAAGCCAAGGGAAAGCCAAGGGAAACCAAAGAAAAACCGCAGGGAACCCCAAGAAAACCAAAGGGAAACTCAAGAAAAACCAAAGGGAAACCAAAGGAAAACAAACATTCCGCGTGGAGGGAGGGGGGCGGAATTTCAAGACATGTCCCAGGTAAAGATCATCCCAACGGCACGTGGTTCCCACTCTTGTGGATTTGCTTCCAAAAATGGTCTTGAAACCCCAAAAAACGAGAATAAGGGGAGCGCTGGGGAGGGAATGGAAGCTGACCATGGGAAGGTGACCCCAATATCCTTAAAGTCCCTCAAACACGTCCCTAAAAACCATTTCAAAAAAGCATGGCTACTACTACGCACTTACGTGGCCTGCCTTCTGGAGTGAAACACAACATTGCTTCCACGGACAAACACATGAAAAGAAGCATCATCTGTGCCTTGATCAAACTCCTTATGTGGGCCATGGCTGGTTCCCTTAGCAGGAACCCTCACACTGGGAGTCTAAATGCTCCATCAAGGGAGCCATGACCATCCCCATCCCTTCCAGCCCATGTTGCCTGAAGAAACTATCTGTAGCTCTGTGGGTGTTGCCTTCTTGAGAACCGACTTGGGATGGTGTTTGAAAGGAAATCAAAAGGAAACCAACCGCTTTTGGTGGTTCTCTATTTTATGATACGCGCTGAATTGGCAACCCAAACAAGTTGCTGTGCCTGACATCCCCGGCGCATGCCATGAAAGCAGCAAGCTTACGCAAAAGCGAACGCGGTGGTCCGGATTTGTCTACACCTTTGAAATTGAAATTCATACCTCAAAAAAGGAACCCAGACTCAACTTGAGATCAGCCCAAGGTCGCTGATTGAGTGCCTGTTGCGACAGGCCACCTACTTGAAAGCTGCCGAACCCCCGGATGCGTTTCTCGGTCCCGTCGCCTTGAGCGAGGGCATCTTTAACTCCTCGGCCTTTCGCCACGCCTCCTGGCCAACTGCCAACTAAAGGTGTGGTTCTCAACCCCCACAGGCACTGGTTTTCTGGAGAAAGCGGTCCGAAGCCTGCGAAATACCGCCAGCTCTCACGCGCTCAAGTTCATGGGACCTCTGGGCGCTGCTTTATTGAGGGCTATGGTGCGCAACTCGGGTCTGATTTTGTAATCACGTTCTCTTCGGAGCTCTTTTTTGGGTTTGCTAAACACATTCCAAGTAGAGAGGGGATGGCCCAAGCAGCCACTCCAGGGTCCCCGCCTGTGGCCAGGCCTCGCCCGCCTGGCTCGCCTGGCTCGCCAAGGCGCGCTGCAGCTTCTCCACCGCCGCACGGCCTGTGACGAGAATCGCCGAATCGCCCCTCGGCCATGTGCATTGCCCTGTGCACCGCCACGGTCCTTGCTTGTCTGTTCCATAAGACTTGAAGCATCCCAAGAGTATCCCAGAACCCCCATGGAGATACGGGGCAACATTCAGTCAAGCCCCACATCAATGTGGCCCCTCGCACTGCGCGCTTGACCTTTAGATAGGGGGGATGCCTGGGGGTTACAGCCCAAGACTGGGCAACTTCTTCAGCCAAAGAACCGCGTTAGTCGAGATATGCCCTCCCCAGCTGCCCCCAAAAGAACAAACCTTTGCGAAGCCAAACCACATGGCGAGAAAGCGAGTTGGATCATGTCGAACGGGAGTCAGCATAACTTGCCAACCGTTTGGACGGCCAAACTGCAGGGCTTGCCTTTTGGTTGGTGTTAAACCCAAAACCGAAGCCATCGGGTGTCCCTATGACACATACCCCTGTCCCATATCTGGTACCGTTCCACTGCTCTTTTGGCTCCCATCTCAGCGTCGCGCGCCGCTGGACCACTTGCGCATACCACACCTGCCGACTGCAACGTGCCGGCATGCGACGAATCCGCTTTTGAAGATTTCTACACTCCGTTTGGGGGGAGTGGCCAAAATGCTCAGCCCCCTGGGACATGTGCAGTTTCACGTTGGCCCGCCGTGATCTTGGGCCAAACATGTGCCATCACCATCGTTTTGGGAGGAACCAGGCCGGGCCTTAAAACACCAAGCCTCCACCTCGCTGGAATGGCCCGACGATTGAAAAGAGGATTTCTCCCACCCCCGAGAGGGAAAGAGAGGAAAATATTCAGGCAAAGAGGCAAGAGACCAAGAGAGTCATAATCAAAACCCGGTACTAAAATGGTGTACCCAGAACCATGTAAAGAATTAGGAAGGCGGCCGCAGCTATTTATGGTTGGGGTCGTCCCTTGCTAACCTTCATCTACCCGGGTTTTGATTGTCAGGAGATGGAAGTGGAGGTTTGCAGGGGTCCAAGTTGCCTCCCCTCAGTTTCGCAACGCCTCCTCCGCGTCGCTGCCCATCTTCTTTGCCGCCAGGATGGCGTTCGCTAGGCGCGCCGCGCTGCCTGCCTGGCAATGGATCCAGGAGGGATCGTTCTATTCCCCCTTTTGGGCGGTTTAACCATCGCTTTCGAGTCTGCTGTTTTAGGGGGAAATGGGGATCTCTCCAAACTGGAGAACCTTAAAAAGAATGGCTTCCTTTTGGTTTGGCCTTTAAAAGAACCAAACAAAACCTCCCAAAAACGGACACACACCCCCTCCCTCCTTCATTTCACCACACACGCCTCCATTGCCAGCTGTAGCTCCGTGACCGCCCGAGGCTCCAGCTCCTGACGCATCTCCAGGTCCCTTTGGAACGGAACCCAGAAGGGGGGAAACTGGCCATTTTTTGGGGGGGAACTCCTGTCACTCGCATCTTTGATGGCTTCGGGCCTCGGGATCCTACTGTACCGCGTCGGGCGTGTCGGTCACACGACAGATCCGAGAAACTCGACATGTAACCCTTACAGAAAGATATACGGCATACCCCGTGTCCTCATGTTCCTTTGGGAGTAGTGACTTAGTTAAGGGATAGTGGAATTCCTTTCAGAAAGTCATGTATTCGATGTTGTGCCAAAAAAGACAAGTTGCACAAGAGGTGTTTCATGTTCGCTTTGTTCCTGAGTGTACGATATGCTTTCAGAAGCGGCCCTCAACTCAAGAAGGTGCCATGCGCAGAAGTCATGCGGCTGACTCTCTGAAACACAGTTGCTGAATCAACGATGCAATGTACGTGTGTTGTGTGACATGAAACCAACTTAGCTAAACACATGAACAAACCATTCCAGCCTTGCTCTGGCAAATGGGTTCACAACAGATGCTACACACATGATTGTCCTTCGATGCAAGCGATCGGAACTCGCTAAACCTACCCTGATATGGGCAATATGGGCAAACCGCTCAACACATCCGCATGTGGCTCCTCCACGACCGCGTGGTCTTGCCTCCTGCTCTCCTCTGCTTCTCTTGCTCTTCTTGATTCCTCCTTGGCAGCAGCTTGCTCCTGTTCAAGCCTGAGGCTCTCCGCCTCTGCTTGAGCTGCCTCCGCTTGTGCCGCTGGCGCTTGTGCCGCTGGCGCTTGTGCCGCCTGCACTTGTGCCAGTCTCTTCGGGCACGGATTGAGTTTGGGGAAAGCGAAGCTTCACCCAGGTCCGTTCACAAGGTCACTCGCTCTCTCTCTCTCTCTCTCGCTCTCTCTCTCTCTCTCTCTCTCTAGTCCGTGCGACTTGACCAAGACGCCCGTATCAATGCTGGTGGATGTTTCATGTTTCACACCACACCTTGCGCTGTTTGTTGGCCGAACGAAACTTACTTTCAACATGTACAGGTGTTTGTGCTAAAACGCCTCCTGGTATCAAAACTAATGCAACAACCCCTGAGCGCGCCTGTTCAAGCTTGACGCGCTCCCCCACTTCTCGTGCCGCCTTCTCCGCTGCTCGTGCCTCCTCAGATGCTCGCACAGCATCCTCTGCTTCTCGTGCTCTTCTTTCCTCCTCAGCCTCGGCAGCAGCTTGCTCCTGCTCAAGCCTGAGGCGCTCCTCCGCTGCTTGCGCCGCCTTCTCCGCTGCTCGCGCCGCCTGCTCTGCTGCTCTTGCAGTCTCCTCTGCTTCTCGTGCTCTCTTTGCTTCCTCTGCCTGCCTCACTTCTTCCTGGGCAAGCTGCAGACTCACTTCCAGGATGTGTTGTGAAGCTCTCTTGGCTGCCTCGGCCGCTACTGCGCGCTCTTGCCTCTCGTTCTCCTCCTCTGCTTCTCGTGCTCTTCTTTCCTCCTCGGCCTTGTCTGCAGCTTGCTCCTGCTCGAGCCTGAGGCGCTCCTCCTCCGCTTCTTGCGCCGCCTTCTCCGCTGCTCGCGCCGCCTCCTCTGCTGCTCTTGCAGTCTCCTCTGCTTCTCGTGCTTTCGTTGCTTCTTCTGCCTGCCTCACTTCTTCCTGGGCAAGCTGCAGACTCGCTTCCAGGATGTGTTGTGAAGCTCTCTTGGCTGCCTCGGCCGCTACTGCGCGCTCTTGCCTCTCGTTCTCCTCCTCTGCTTCTCGTGCTCTTCTTGCCTCCTCGGCCTTGGCGGCAGCTTGCTCCTGCTCAAGCCTGAGGCGCTCCTCCTCAGCTTCTTGCGCCGCCTTCTCCGCTGCTCGCGCCGCCTCCTCTGCTGCTCTTGCAGTCTCCTCTGCTTCTCGTGCTCTCTTTGCTTCCTCTGCCTGCCTCACTTCTTCCTGGGCAAGCTGCAGACTCACTTCCAGGATGTGTTGTGAAGCTCTCTTGGCTGCCTCGGCTGCCACTGCGCGCTCTTGCCTCTTGCTCTCCTCCTCTGCTTCTCGTGCTCTTCTCTCCTCCTCGGCCTCGGCGGCAGCTTGCTCCTGCTCAAGCCTGAGGCGCTCCTCCTCCGCTGCTTGCGCCGCCTTCTCCGCTGCTCGCGCCGCCTGCTCTGCTGCTCTTGCAGTCTCCTCTGCTTCTCGTGCTCTCTTTGCTCCCTCTGCCTGCCTGACTTCTTCCTGGGCAAGCTGCAGACTCACTTCCTGGATGTGTTGTGAAGCTCTCTTGGCTGCCTCGGCCGCTACTGCGCGCTCTTGCCTCTCGTTCTCCTCCGCTGCTTCTCGTGCTCTTCTCTCCTCCTCGGCCTCGGCGGCAGCTTGCTCCTGCTCAAGCCTGAGGCGCTCCTCCTCCGCTTCTCGCGCCGCCTTGTCCGCTGCTCGCGCTGCTTCCTCTGCTGCTCTTGCAGTCTCCTCTGCTTCTCGTGCTTTCTTTGCTTCCTCTGCCTGCCTCACTTCTTCCTGGGCAAGCTGCAGACTCGCTTCCAGGATGTGTTGTGAAGCTCTCTTGGCTGCCTCGGCCGCTACTGCGCGCTCTTGCCGCTCGTTCTCCTCCTCTGCTTCTCGCGCTCTTCTTTCCTCCTCGGCCTCGGCGGCAGCTTGCTCCTGCTCAAGCCTGAGGCGCTCCTCCTCTGCTTCTTGCGCCGCCTTCTCCGCTGCTCGCGCCGCCTCCTCTGCTGCTCTTGCAGTCTCCTCTGCTTCTCGTGCTTTCGTTGCTTCTTCTGCCTGCCTCACTTCTTCCTGGGCAAGCTGCAGACTCGCTTCCAGGATGTGTTGTGAAGCTCTCTTGGCTGCCTCGGCCGCTACTGCGCGCTCTTGCCGCTCGTTCTCCTCCTCTGCTTCTCGCGCTCTTCTTTCCTCCTCGGCCTCGGCGGCAGCTTGCTTCTGCTCAAGCCTGAGGCGCTCCTCCTCTGCTTCTTGCGCCGCCTTCTCCGCTGCTCGCGCCGTCTCCTTTGCTGCTCTTGCAGTCTCCTCTGCTTCTCGTGCTTTCTTTGCTTCCTCTGCCTGCCTCACTTCTTCCTGGACAAGCTGCAGACTCACTTCCAGGATGTGTTGTGAAGCTCTCTTGGCTGCCTCGGCCGCTACTGCGCGCTCTTGCCTCTTGTTCTCCTCCTCTGCTTCTCGTGCTCTTCTTTCCTTCTCGGCCTTGGCGGCAGCTTGCTCCTGTTCAAGCCTGAGGCGCTCCTCCTCTGCTTGCGCCGCCTTCTCCGCTGCTCGCGCCGCCTCCTCTGCTGCTCTTGCAGTCTCCTCTGCTTCTCGTGCTTTCTTTGCTTCCGCTGCCTGCCTCACTTCTTCCTGGGCAAGCTGCAGACTCGCTTCCAGGATGTGCCGTGAGGCTCTCTTGGCTGCCTCGGCCGCTACTTCGCGCTCTTGCCTCTTGTTCCACTCCTCTGCTTCTCGTGCTCTTCTTTTCTCCTCGGCCTTGGCGGCAGCTTGCTCCTGCTCAAGCCTGAGGCGCTCCTCCTCCGCTGCTTGCGCCGCCTTTTCCGCTGCTCGCGCCGCCTGCTCTGCTGCTCTTGCAGTGTCCTCTGCTTCTCGTGCTTTCTTTGCTTCCTCTGCCTGCCTCACTTCTTCCTGGGCAAGCTGCAGACTCACTTCCAGGATGTGTTGTGAAGCTCTCTTGGCTGCCTCGGCCGCTACTACGCGCTCTTGCCTCTTGTTCTCCTCCGCTGCTTCTCGTGCTCTTCTTTCCTCCTCGGCCTCGGCAGCAGCTTGCTCCTGCTCAAGCCTGAGGCGCTCCTCCTCTGCTTCTCGCGCCGCCTTCTCCGCTGCTCGCGTTCTCCCCTCTGCTGCTCTTGCAGTCTCCTCCGCTTCTCGTGCTTTCTTTGCTTCTTCTGCCTGCCGCACTTCCTCCTGGGCAAGCTGCAAACTCACTCCCAGGATCTGCTGTGATGCTCTCTTGGCTGCCTCTGCCGCTGCCGCACGCTCGGCAGCTTGCTCCTGCTCAAGCCTGAGGCGCTCCTCCTCTGCTTCTCGCCCTTCCTCAGCTGCTCTGGGTGTTTCGTCATTTCCCTGTACCACTTCAGCCTCTTTTGCTCGGACGTGTTCTTCTGCAATCTCTGCGCTTTCTGGCTCTGCTATGCACAACTCATCCTTGCATTCCTCCCCTGCAGCTTGATCATGCTGCCAGTCTGGCTCCTGTTTGCTTGTTTTTCGCGCTGGCAATCCTGCTTCCCTCACCTTCCTCAGCTGTCGAGCCTCTTCTTGGGCCAGCCGGAAAGGTGTGCTTTGTATACTTTGCAAAGCTTGCTCTGCAACCTCAAGAGCGACCTCGCGAACATGCGCACGCTGCTCTGCCTGCCGCACTTCCTCCTGGGCAAGCTGCAAACTCACTTCCAGGATCTGCTGTGACGCTCTCTTGGCTGCCTCGGCTGCCACTGCACGCTCTTGCCTCTTGTTCTCCTCTGCTTCTCTTGCTCTTCTTTCCTCCTCGGCCTCGGCAGCAGCTTGCTCCTGCTCAAGCCTGAGGCGCTTCTCCTCAGCTGCCCGTGCAGCCTCTTCTGCTTCTCGTGCATTCTTCGCTTCTTCTGCCTGCCGCACTTCCTCCTGGGCAAGCTGCAAACTCACTTCCGAGATCTGCTGTGACGCTCTCTTGGCTGCCTCGGCTGCCACTGCACGCTCTTGCCTCTTGTTCTCCTCTGCTTCTCTTGCTCTTCTTTCCTCCTCGGCCTTGGCAGCAGCTTGCTCCTGCTCAAGCCTGAGGCGCTTCTCCTCAGCTGCCCGTGCAGCCTTTTCTGCTTCTCGTGCATTCTTCGCTTCTTCTGCCTGCCGCACTTCCTCCTGGGCAAGCTGCAAGCTCACTTCCAGGATCTGCTGTGACGCTCTCTTGGCTGCCTCGGCTGCCACTGCACGCTCTTGCCTCTTGTTCTCCTCTGCTTCTCTTGCTCTTCTTTCCTCTTTGGCCTCGGCAGCAGCTTGCTCCTGCTCAACCCTGACGCGCTTCTCCTCAGCTGCCCGTGCAGCCTCTTCTGCTTCTCGTGCATTCTTCGCTTCTTCTGCCTGCCGCACTTCCTCCTCGGCAAGCTGCAAACTCACTTCCAAGATCTGCTGTGACGCTCTCTTGGCTGCCTCGGCCGCTACTTCGCGCTCTTGCCTCTTGTTCTCCTCTGCTTCTCTTGCTCTTCTTTCCTCCTCGGCCTTGGCAGCAGCTTGCTCCTGCTCAAGCCTGAGGCGCTTCTCCTCAGCTGCCCGTGCAGCCTCTTCTGCTTCTCGTGCATTCTTCGCTTCTTCTGCCTGCCGCACTTCCTCCTGGGCAAGCTGCAAACTCACTTCCAAGATCTGCTGTGACGATCTCTTGGCTGCCTCGGCTGCCACTGCATGCTCTTGCCTCTTGTTCTCCTCTGCTTCTCTTGCTCTTCTTTCATCCTCGGCCTCGGCAGCAGCTTGCTCCTGCTCAAGCCTGAGGCGCTTCTCCTCCACTTCTCGCGTCGCTTTCTCTGTTGCTCGTGCAGCCTCCTCTGCTTCCGGGGCTGTGTCCTTCTGTTTTTGCTGAGGTTCTTTTGCCGCATCTACTACCTCTTCCGTGCCAATCTTCAAGCCAATTTCCTTTCTGTCTGGCACGGGTGTTTGCTGTGCGGTGTCTGCTACTTTGGCCTTTTCATTTGTTGTGTCTGCATTGGCTTGGCTTTCGGCTTCGGCGTTTGCAAAATGGATGCCTGGCGATTCTGCTTGACTTGCTGGCTGGGAATCGCTTGACACCTGAGCCTTCTCTGTTCGGCTACTTTCTTGACAATCTGAAGCACTTGCCCTATGTTCGCCCTCGGCTTCTGATGGAAGGACCCTGCCATGTTCCTGCTTTGTGCACGGGCTGGTATGGTCTGAAACGACTCGCTCCATCAACTCAGCAGTCACGCTCTTGGCCACACATGCTGCTGTGGCACGGTGCTCGTCTTGTTGCTCTCTTTCCTTAAGCGTCTCGCTTCGGCCGCTCGCATGCCAGGTCCGCGTAGCTGCCCGCGTCACAAGCGAGGCCACCGTGTCGCGGGCCAGGGCGATGCATCGGCTTTCGTTCTGACCTGGCACGGTTTCATCATCAAAGAACACCTCTGATTCAAAGACTTCAACTGTCTCCTTCTCGGCAAATCGGCCGCGGTCGTCAGCTGCGATGGGGGCTGCACTGCCGGTCACTAAGTCATCTTCCACCTGCGCTAATGCAGCCAATGCAAGTTCCGCTGGCATCTTTGGAGACGCGCTTCCCAGCTCCACTGGCATCTTTGGAGACGAGCTTTCCTGCTCCGCTGGCATCTTTAGAGACGCGCTTGCCAGCTCACCTTAGCCATGGTACAACCTCAAACTCAATTCCATCTGATGGTTCAACCCAAACCTGCGAGATGGGAAACAATGGAACACTGAATCAAGCTTGGCATAGAAGTTGATCTTCGCACCCATGGAAAATCCCGCGGTTCACCGCTCGCTTCCAGCCGCCCGTCGCGCCCTGAAAAAATATGCCGCGTAGCAGTCTTCGGCGGAGCGGAGTGGCACCTTCGCTTCCTCCAAGTCGCACTCCGGCGCCTCGCCCGGAGGCGCCAAAGGTCTGGCCTGCTCGGACACGGACGCACGGACGGCGCTTCGGGCAACGGTTTGAGAGAACTCGGCTGGAGGGCGCGGTTTGGAGGAAAAACTCGGGAAAACACCACAGGGGCAGGAAATCAGCGTCAGTTGGGTCGCACATGGGGGTGCTTGTTCCTTGACAGCACGGACAGAACACATCAATGAGTGAACGTGCTATATTGTCAAGATTGGCGGATCTTCCGGCAAAGAAAACAACTGGTAAACCAATCATTGTGAGGCACCCACTGGGAAACCCGCAAGTAGCCAAAAGGCACCCGTTGCGCGACAGCTTTTGAAAAGGTTTGGCCAACACTCAACTTCGAGGTTGAGGGATTTCCCACAAAAAGGATCGGGTCAAAGTCATTGGGGGAAAAACAAAACCCTGAAACCAAAGGGCGCCTGTTTGTTGGACATGCTTGGTGAGTGATTTCCCCTGACCTTGCAGTTTGCCCAACATGGGAGCCACTCTAGTGGACATCAGCCACCTGTGCGGATTTATGCAGCCGCCAACCGTTAGATGGTGCTCCCGTGCTCCCCATGCAGATTCATATTCAAACGGATTTGTGTCTAGGGCAACCGAAAAATTGTGGGTGTCGCTTTGGTTTCCTCGTGTTTTTCCATTCAAAGCAAGCCCAACTGGGGTATCAAAAGGAGACACGCCCGGACTAGGTTCACCCTAGGCCTGCACCGGAGGGCGTGGCTCCTCGCGGAGAAAAAGGCCGGATGGGCGGAGGGTGGGGATGCTCATATTCCACACTTCATCTCTGGATATGTTCTGAAATGGGGGTGGTTTCACCAGTTTGGAACAATGTCGGAATCAAACTTTGGCTTGAATAGGTCTAGCCCGAACCCAAGGTCGGATGTTTCCATCTACTCATAGTTGGGACTGTCCCCCCGACTAACTGCATCTACCCAGGATTTAATGCAACGTTGCCAAAATCGCTAAGATTGCAGGGATGTCTGCACCCGGATCACTCACACTCCGCTGCCCTCATCTCTTCCAAGGCTTATTCTACGCCACCCCCCACTCGTTCTCAGTCCATGAAAGTGACTCTCATAATGATTGGCAAGCAACATCCTTTGAGAAGCCTAATGGATGTTCACTTCAATGAACTGGGAGTGGGTGCTCTTGAAAGGACAGGCTCATAGACTGTCGGCTTCCATGATACGAGAACGTCACATATCCATCCTGACGGACGAAATGCTGCAGCGGTTCTTGGAAAGGTGGTTCGCAGTAAGAGGCTTGCATCCATCCCAACTGGTGCCGATCGGCGCCGCTGAACTACTCCCGATGGACAATGGCCCAGCCTGGTGACCGTTGTAAGAAAGGGAGCTACTTTCTGGGTTGTTTTGGAGACTGTGACTGGGCAAGAGACCCACATGACAAAAACGGGAAAAAGGGGGCACTGACAACTGGGCGTTTCGATTGATTCACGACGCATCTTTATCTTCAGAGTAGCAGCATCAAGGGCCCCGGTCTTTTCCCACCAGCTCTCTCTCTCTCTCTCTCTCTCTCTCTCTCGCTCTCCCTCTCTCTCTCTCGCTCTTTCCCTCTCTTTTTGCCGAGTTTTGGCCCGCATTTCTCGTGCCCATCGGCATCTCCCTCGCGTGACGCCGCTGAAAACATCCTCAGCTGCCCAGCACACGCACCACCTGCGCCAAGATCTCCGCGGACCCCGCCGCGAGGACACCCTCCGTGTTTTTCCTTGGCCACCAAAGGACCTGGAAATAACCGGTGAGTCATAATCAAAACCCGGTATTAAAATGGTCTAGTTGGGATTGTCCTTTACTGACCTTCATCTACCCGGGTTTTGATTGTGGCTCAGGTGATCACCTCGAACTAAAAGAAGGGCGATCACCTTCAGGGACCTTGGCGAATGGACTTGGGGGAACCTCAAGGTCAAAAAGTCAGCTTTGGCAAGTGAGCTTCATCTCGCCGTCGGGGTCATACACGATGTGCTCTCCGAACCTGATCCGAGATTCAAGCAATCCAATCCCAGGCTTGAACGAGTCGTTTCTGGACTGAACGGCTGATGTCCGATGTCCGGTGCACCAAGACACGACATGCCACGAGCTGTGACAGAAAAGAATCAACACCTCCAATTTCATCAAGACCTTCGAAGACTGGCCTGCTCGCTTAGGATCTCGCAGCCCACAGAACTACACAATATAGGGCACACCAAGAAACATTGAACATTGTGCGCGCTCCATTTAACATCCTTCTGGTAGGCATATGTTTGTCACACCCATAATATATATATATATATATATACTGATCCCAAAGCATGGCTTTTCTCCCAACATCATAGCTGGCTTCTGTGGTGAAGACTGGAACGCCCACAATTTCAGCTTCAGTGATTGATAGAGACAATTTGCCTCGTTTCCAGGAGAAACATCGTATGCACGTGTAAGGGCCGAGCTCCGCCTTCCCTAGTGCATCTTCAAAATGCGCAAGACGCAACCTGCAAATTTGTCAGATTGAGAAGCGGTGCACGATGAAAATGTTCAGGACGAAACAAGGCCTTGCATCCAAAACGAAAGCTGTGCTGTGCTGAGCCGAAACTTGCCATCCACGGAACTATCTTGAGCCAGCACACATTCTTCACTTTGCAAGGAATCAAGAGATTGCCTTGCCTCTACCAGCACCCTTCACCCAGAAGCCCCGAAAGCATCCGCCATACAGGCCCAAAGAGCTAGAAAGGGGTTGTGGAATGCTTTAAAGCACCAAATGTAGTCCTGAGTTTAGGAGCAAGGTTTGCGCCACACAGTAATCATTTCTGAAACCCTCAACCCCTAAACCCCCCAACCCCACCGTCCACCACCATCCACACCAGCCACGTCCCTTCCCACCCCACGCCTGTCGCGCAGCTGGCCCCCGGAGGCCTCCAACATCGCCTCCGGGGCGCAGGTGTCCCACCGCGAGGTCCCCGGCCGCGGGAAGAGCCACAGATCCCCTCGCGGCGCAGTCGTCGCATGCGTCGGATTCGTCGCGCGCGCGCGCTCGTCGCGCAGAGTGCGGAATGGCCGGAAGAGGGAACCGGGATGGAGGACGGAGGATGTTCGAGCGAGAAAAAAAAAAGACCTTTCGTTCCTTTTGAACCCAAAGCTGAAGGCTTCAGTTTCTGGTCAAATTGGGTTTACCCGGAAGGATATGGCCTATCAGCACTCTCGTGAAAGTCCTTGCGAGTTGATTTCTAGTCTAGGTGGTACATAGGACCTTGCAGAAGCATGGCTGCGCCTTACGGTGCCAAAGTTGTTTTCAATCAAAATGTGTGGGCCGCTTTTTGGGGACGCGTTCCTTTGGGAATGTGTCACAAGCAATCTGGGCCCCTCCAAAGGCAACGGATTGGTATGGATGCTCTGGTTTGTATGGGCTCTGGTTTTGATAATTTGAACCTACTGGAAGGGGAAAATCTAAAATTGGCTGGTTTGCCCTGATTAAAGAGCTGCAATTACTCGGTCCCATGCACCAAGGGTTCGGAGTTGGGGTCATACACTCCACCTTTGATATCTTTCGCTCGGATATTGGTACCATCACATAATCGTGCACTGACCAAACATCCGGGGAATCTCCAGATAGTGATCTTTCAGCACGCTGCTCCGTTTCTATCCCTGCTCGATCCATCAGGCCAAATCTTTCGCCGACTGCCTCTTGTGCCCGAATGGCTCCAAGTAACACGTCATCTGCAATTCTACAACTCCGAAGCCTAAAAGAAGTGATCCGCAGAGGACCTACACCATGTCTCTCACTCGTTTTGTCATTCACCATCCTCGCCTTCTCCATCGACCACCCGTGCCGCCTTGTGCCCGGCGCCCCCTGCTGCAATTTGGCCTCGGAATGCGGTCGGCTTGGTTGCTCCATGGTAACGTCTGCGGCTCTGTGAAAACTCTGCTCCGAGCCAGCTTGCGCATGCAACCAGAGAAGGGGAGGGTTCAAGCTTGGGTGAGGGCGGCAGTAGTCCCCCGCCACCTACTGCAATCATTCCAGCTCTTTTGTCGGAGCCAACTAACTTTTTGCTGCTGGCATCAAGAGAGAAGAACACCCCCCCTTCTTTGAACCCTTTTAGGGTCACATCCAAAGCCTACGGAGCCAAGAACCAGGAGCACAAATAGCTGCATCAAAGGGTCGCACCATATCCCCATCTAACCTTCTAGCCGTTACCAGCCGTGCAACACCTGACATGTTTGGTGAACTGAGTAGAGACTCCAACTTTCTCGTTCCACGCTTTGTCGAAGACCAAGGCACCATGTCACATACTCACGAAGAAGTATTCCCAACAGCCCTGGAACCTTCCCGAAACCAGCAAGCAACACCCAGGAGCGCCCCAAAACCAAGGCTACTGCCCCATAGCCGTCGCTACTCCGCAAAACAAACCTTCAAAAACGGGAGGAAAAATGAGAAAACCAAACCAAAGGGGAGAAATATGTCCCAGCCGGCCCATCGATTTGCCCATCGGAGCGCCTGTCACCAGTGGGCCTTCGCCCAGCCCCGAGCCAGGCGCCGACAGCCGCTGCAAAGCCTCCGCCACCGCCCCCTCCGTGCGGCTCCGCCTCGAGACGACCAGAAAGCGTGACGCCCCCTCAAAAACCTGGAATATATATATATATATATATGGGTTGTTCGTCAAAAAATGGCAAGCCGAAATGATGCGGAAAAGTTTGCCGAAGGCCTCAACATCGACCAACTTGGGTCACGACAAAATTATGGCGGGTCTCAATGAAAAGGGAATCCCATGTAGCCTGGCGCTGGATTGCTTACCAGTCCAAAACCAGACTCACCGAGCTCGCAGAAAAATTGACTCGCGTGCCAGGGAGAAGGACCGAGGCGCGAGACCAGCACCAGGCACCGCCCCGCGAGGCGCGGCGGTTTGCGCCAGGAGGAGCCCAGGGCTCGAACGCCGCTGAAGGCCCCAGGCGCCTGAGACCCGGACGGCGAAGTGCCCAAAGCGTGTACTGGGAAACCAACGGGCAACCACCCACAAGAAGCAACCCTGTTTTGACACCCAAATGGGTGCACGATATGCGTCAGAATAGGGACGCCACCACGTGTTCCTTTTAATTGGTACGCGCAAAAAAAAAAAAACGCACACACACACACACACACAAGTGCGCCAGAACCAAAACTCGCAAGCAAGGAAACCTTCCGGTTGCCTAAAACTCCGGAAGTGTCCGTGAGCATCCCTTGCCATAACACCGCAGAAGTCCCTGAAAAAGATTTTCTCGACTGAGAGGGAGCAAGGGAAGCACTATGCCCACGCCCGAAAAGAACATCCGTTCACGCGCACCCGCAGAGCACAGCATTCACGCCTGGAAAATGATAACAACACCCATGTAGTGCACTCCTGTCAACTGTTGCGCGCACCATTCATCCACGCACGTTCAAAGCCCCGACAAACCCTACTTGCCGTGTTGAACCTAGTTTTGTTGTTTTGTAGTCGTACTTATCGGAGTTGTTGGATGTTGCTGGTTGTTGCTGGTTGCTGTTGGCATTTGACGGTCGTTGTTTGTCGTTGTTCGTCGTCGTCCTCGTCGTTGTCGTCGTCGTCGTGGTGGTGGTGGTGGTGGTGGTCGTGGTGGTGGTGGTGGCAGCGCTGGTGGTGGTGCTCATGGTGCTTCTGTTTTTTTGTTGCGGTCACTTGTTCATTTGCTTGTTATGGTTGCGGTTGTGCTTGTTGGGGTTCTGGCTGTTGTGGTTGTGATTGG